CCCCAAGTGGTGGAGTTGGAAGCATACCAGGGGATTCCAATTCAATCCCATCGAGGTGGCATGTACCAATGCCATCTCACTGTTCCAGGTGATCAGTTTCAGTTCACAGTTGGTCATGGTGAAGGGACTGGGAGTCAAAGGGAGCACATAGACAAGTCTAGTACCTGCTAACGCTAACTGATGGAGTAAATAAAGGGGAGAGTGATCCAACATGGGAAGTGAGATACTCAGCAGACTCATAGAATGGCAGATGTCCTAAATAGCACTCTGGCCTCAGAATCAGCCCTAAAGGCATTCGGAGCTGGCTGAAAAGCTCATGAGAGTATTTCAGGCATGAAATTTTAAAAATGAAATAAGAAATAAGTAATTATATTTAAAAAACCATTTTCACAATTAGTATTGTGCTAAATTATTTTACTGTTGTTCAAACTATCAGCATTTATTTTTTACAATCTTTTCATCACACATAACATTTGTTAAAGTAAGTTTTTATACTCTCTGAAACACAGAGACATACTTCTCATATAATATTTCAATTACACATAAACATTCATAGTGTATTTGGTATTTTTACAAGAATCTACATAAATATGTTGCTTTTGTATGATTGAATAGAATTTTAATTTCAAATTTTTGATTAATATATAATATCTGTACCTTTTTATGGGTACAGTGTAGTATCAACACATGGTAAATTCTCTTAATGCACTATTTTCAATACCCCAATAGCAACAGTACTAACATTATCTTCATTTTATGGATTAAAGTGTTTAAAAACTGTCCATGAATAAATGCTCTGCTATGCAAATATGCTTTGTATACACCTTTGGTCTTCATGACAGTATATGGGGTAGATAGGAATAGATGTTTCCATTTCTTAGGCAAGGACACTGTCAGAATCAAAGATAAATGACCCTTCCAGGGTCACACAGCTAGTAAGGAATGGAGCTGGTTTTGGATTTCCCATTATTTAACATTAACAAGGGCATTTTTTTCCCCATAGTGATTTTTTTTTAAGTTACCTCTCAACGTATAAAAAGGAAATATTAATTATGCCTGTGAAAGCAAATTTTAAAAGAATAATAAGTGACACAGAAATAAGACATTTTTTTCATCATGATCTTTATAATTATTGGTAGCACTCACACTGTCAGAGAGGAAGACCTAATAGACAGCTAGTTCATTTCACTAAGGTAAAGGTACACAGCTAACATTATGTTGGTAAGCAGTGTACAATGGCTGGAACCACACTGAAAGGGCTGGGCAAGGAAAATGGGATTCAAAAGGTTTGAAAATCTTCAGTCCCAAGTAGGAGGTCCGAAGTTTGAAGATAAGGCAAAGGCCTCATCACAGGGGACAGCGATTTCTCAAAACCACTGGCTGTGCTCTGTATAAAGGAGAGAGTACTCTGTTTTGGCTTGGGTGACTCTCCACTGTCGGAAGGCAGAGATTCATGAGGAGGGATTACCTTGGACGTGGTCACGTGAGATGACTCCTAGCTACCACCTTGGGTGTTGTGGTGGTGGAAAAGCCCTCATGACACATCCGTTGACAGATGTGTCAGATGAATAGCCATCAGCTGGCAGATCTGGCCTGATTCTCTGACAATTGGACTTGACTCATAAGTTGGGTAGCCTGTTTTACATATGCATGTACACTCCTATTGTATCCTGACATTATCCTTATCATCCCTGGTCCCAGTTGCTGGTTCAGCCACTCCCTTTCTCTAGCTCTTGTGACACTGATTGTGCCTTAGTCTTCCTATCCACCTTAAATCTATCCTAAATTCTATTTTTGACTACTGTACAGCTTCCCAGGGTTTCTCTAACAACGAGGTGCTCTGAATATTCATTAGGGCAATCTATTCTGGACTTCCTTGCCTGTATTTTCATGGACACAACACATGGAAGTGTTAAGAACCTGAAGTTTACATATAGGTAACTTTGGGTGAAAGACCTACTTTTGCTGTTAATTCTTATATATTTGACCTAAATTACTCAAATTACTCAGTCCTGTCTTTTTTTTTTTTCGAGGCAGAGTTAGACAGTGAGAGAAAGAGACAGAGAGTTATAGACAGTGAGAGAGAGACAGAGAGAAAGGTCTTCCTTCCATTGGTTCACTCCCTTATGGCCGCTACGGCTGGCGCTGCGCCGATCCGAAGCCAGGAGCCGGGTACTTCCTCTTGGTTTCCCTTGCGGGTGCAGGGACTCAAGCACTTGGGCCATCCTCCGCTGCCCTCCCAGGCCACAGCAGAGAGCTGGTCAGTTCTGTCTTTGAGACATAAAAACTAGTAAATAATAGTTATTTTAATTACTATGTTCCTTATATTAAGATTCCTCAGTGGATTTTAAATTCAGTTTAAATGATAAAGGTAAGAATCGTGTTTTCCTTTTTTTATCCCAATCCTCCAGTTAGTAACATAAAATGTGCAGTGTACATTTTTTAGATTAATGAGTGATTACTTTGTGGAGTTATTTGGAAACTTTTTTGGACAAGGTTGCAGAGACACACTGTCACTAAAGAGACACCTGAGTCTCCAAACCTGGCATAAAGCAGACCTATGGTGAACTGAAGACAGGTCAGTGTTAACGTTTTCTCCATTTTAGAAGCTGCCAATGTTGAGATCCCTGAGCATGTAATGCAGGATCAAATTTAACATATTAAACTGATGTGATTGGTGAATGTTGTTCATGTACCATGAGACTCCTGCTGAAAATGAATTATTAATAAAAAAAGAATTTTCCTAAGATATAATAATAGAAATAAGAAAATCTTACTTGATTGACAAATGCATATGACAATTTTAATTACATGCCACTAAGTTTAACGTAAGCTGTGTGGGCAACTCTTGCCAATGAGGATGGGAAACCTATGTGAGAAGAGTTAAGGATGCAAACCTGTTGAGTAGATGAAGTGTACCTGGTTAGGAGGCAGAGGTAAGTGTCATTGAGAAAGCAGGTGAAGTCAGATTTTGAGAAAATCCTGAAAAACATAAAGGAGTTAAGACAGATGGAACAAAATGAAAAGCAGAAAGCCACTGTAGATTCAATATAATTTCATAGTGAAATCACTATTTCAGGGAGTAAGAGGAAGCTAGATTAGCAGAGAGCTTGTACTTCGAGATATTTGGGAGGAAGCAGTAAAACTCTACAAAGATTAAGGTGGTAGAAATACTACATTAGACTAATATTATGGAGACATGATTCTAATCCTAGTTTACTCACTAACTTAGGCACCTTGAATAAGTCACTAAACTCTAGAACTATACTTACTTATATCTAAAACCAGAATGTTGGGGGCCAGTGCTGTGGCAAAGCAGGTAAAGCTGTTGCCTGCGGTGCCGGCATCCCAGATGGCCGCCAGTTCAAATCCTGGCTGCATACTTCTGATTCAGCTCTCTGCTATGGCCTGGGAAAGCAGTAGAAGATGGCTCAAGCCCTTGGGCCCCTGCATCCATGTGGGAGACCCAGAAGAGGCTCCTAGCTTCAGATTGGCCCAGCTCCAGCTGTGGTGGCCATCTGGGGAGTGAACCAGCAGATATGGAAGACATCGCTCTCTCTGCTTCTGCCTCTGCCTCTCTGTTAACTCTGATTTTCACATAAAATAATCTTAAAAAAAAACCCAGAATGTTGAATCCCATGTGAGTTTCCTCAAGATACGTACAGTAAGACAATCTTAGATAGATTAAAGAAGAACTTAAAAGTTTTTAACAGTTAGGTTTTTTTTGTAGTTACCTTCTATGTGTCAAGTTATACTGGCCCTGCATTAGCATAATAATGTAATTCATAAGTAGAATCTTGATTTTTGCTCCCACATTTGAGGGAATTCTAGAAATCCCACGATAAAAACAAAAAAATTGGAAGTAATAAATCATATTTTCCAGACATTGGACAGCTTAGGTCTGTGACCTCTACAGGAAGAAAACAAATGAGATGAGCTCTATGAAAAATTTTGAGTTTCTGCCTACCAGAAATTTCTGGGTTGCAGTAGAGGCTCATTTAAGTAGACAGAGATTAGGATTCAGGGTGGTTAAGTACAACAAAATTTGTGGATCAAAATGCTGGAGAAAAAATAGCAATGTAGAGAAAGAGTTCCAGTGATATACAGAGGCAGCCCCTTGACCTTGTTGCTAAATTATATTCTGTACAATCAAAGGACAAAATTCCACAAGGGTAGACAAAGTAAAACTTTCAGAGAAAGAACAATTGATAGGGAACTATATATAAAATAATTCCTAGTATGTAAATAATGTATATAGGTATTAATTTGGGTTTCCATCAGCCAGCATGGAAAAACTTTTCGAAACACAGAGGTATTCAGTGGAGACCTCAGAAAGTGCACACCTTCTTAATAAGGCAAAACTTCTTCAGAGCAGAGGCCTGCCCTTAATAGGATAAAGAACATGCCACAAAACAATCACACTTACCTGCAAGTAAATTAACTGAAAAACATTTCCAATCCTATTTAACAGGATAAAACAAAATTCAACATTCAGTAATGCAAAATTCAATGTCTGCCATCCAAGAAAAAATATTAAGTGCTCAACAAAGAAGGAGCCATTACCAGGAAAAATGAATGTATAGAATAAGCATATAAATGGCAGAAATGATTGCATAAGTAAAAAGTATGCTAAAATAGATACTATTATATGCATACTAACTTAAGGATTTAAAGAAAAACATTAAAATAAGGAGGAAAGAAACATAGATATACAAAACAACCAAATGAGATTTTCAGAGATAAAGAATACCATACCCCAAATGAAATAGATACCAAAAGTAATTATAGTAGTTAGGCACTGCAAAACAAAACATCTGTGAACATGAAAACATTAGAGTAGAAACTGTCTAAAATAAAGCAGAGAGAGGTTAAACACTGGGGAAAATAATCATATTCAGTGACTTCTGGGTCAGTCTCTAGTGGTCTAACACATGTAATTAGGTGTCTAGAAAAAGGGGGATATAGGAAAGATTTAGGAAATAATGGCTTGGGGCCGGCGCTGTGGCACAGCGGGTTAAAGCCCTGGCCTGAAGCGCCTACATCGCATATTGGCACTGGTTCTAGTCCCGGCTGCTCCTTTTCTGATCTAGCTCTCTGCTATGGCCTGGGAAAGCAGTGGAAGATGGCTCAAGTCCTTGGGCCCCTGCACCCGCCTGGGAGACCCAGAAGAAGCTCTTGGCTCCTGGCTTCTGGCTTTGGATGGGTGCAGCTCCGGCTGTTGCGGCCATCTGGGGAATGAACCAGCGGATGGAAGACCTCTCTCTCTGTTTCTATCTCTCTCTGTATAACTCTTTCAAATAAATAAAATAAATCTTAAAAAAAAGAAATAATGATCAACATCTTTCCAAACATGATGAAAACTAGCATCTGCAAAGCTACAAAGCCTATCAAACTCCAATCAGAGCTTGCCCCAGAACGAAATTAAACCTCATTCAAATTGCTGAAAATCGCTTACAAACTCTTAAAAGAAGACCACAAAACATACATTAAGTAGAAAGAAAAAAAGATGGGAAACTACAGACTTATTGTGATGCATGCCACAGGATGATGCCCAACTTTTTAAAGCACTAAATTAATAAAAATCAAACATGAATTATGTCCATCTAAAATTCTATTTTCAGGAGAAAATGTCTCTTAGTGATAAAAGCCAAAAGATTATTTTTCTGGCAAGCAAACACTGAGATGATTAATCCCTGGCTGATGTGCAAAGCTAGAAATATTCGAGGAAGTTCATTAGGCCAAAGGAAAATAAATGAAATAAGGAATAGGATCTATTAAGCTTTCCAAGAAAGAGATGATGATAACAATTATTACCATCATTATTATAAATAAGACATATAATCTCACATTATTGTATAGTCATAGTAACAGTAATAGTATAGTAGTTTACTATTGCTTTTAACAAATTAGCACCAACTTAGCATCTTAAAACAACACACATTTATTATAGCACTGTTTCTATGAGTCAATAGGTCAAACTTTGGTATAACTGGGTCCTCTGCTCAGGGTCTCATCAGATTGCAATCAAGGTAATGGCCAGGTTACTTTATCAATAGTACATTTTGCTATAAAACAGTGGGCTTTCAAGTTCATTCAGGTTTTAGGCAGAATTCATTTTCTTGTGGCTTGTGACAGAGGTATCTGGTTTTTGGCTAGTTACCTGCTGGAGGTCACCCTCAGATCCTAAAATCCATGTACAGTTCCTTGCAATGTGGGTTTCAATACACATGTTCATTTCATCAAGCTATCAATGAGATGTTCTTTTTCCAGTCTGCCTAGATTGTTACATAATGCAGCATAACTGGGGAGTGACATTCCCACACCTTTGTCACAGAACACAACCTTACTATGGATGTGACATCTGTTTCCTTTATCAATTCTGTGTTAGAAGGAAGTCTCAGGTTCCATTCACACTCAAGGGGAGGGGATCACATAAAGCCTTGGACACTAGAAACCAGAAATCATTTGGGATCATCTTGGGGTCTGTCCCTTTATGATTATGAAAATCCACTTGCTTGGAGAAAGAAAATATTGTCCATTTTATGAACATTCCTTCATCAACCTAATCATGTCTTGGTAAATTTCCTGGGGTGCATCCAGTCCCAGGTAAAAATCCACATGATTGTAGTATGGAATCACTTTGTAATAGATGAGGTTTGCAATTTTGGGCAGCAAAATTTCAATATCCCGGGGATCAGCCACAATATCCTGGCCACCACTCCACATTGCCGTTGGAACTTCCATCTTAGTAATGTCGTATAAAGGAGGCGTAGGCTAAACACATTAAAAGAGATATTTAAAAAGCTCTTAAAGAAAACCATATTACAGAAATAACATTAACTCTCAGTGGTTAAGCTTGTTTGTCACCCACTAAAAGTGTGCAGTTAGGATACATGTATTGTATAAACATCAAAATGTTAAAAATAATAAAGTACTGTTTGTATAAGAATATGAATTGTGAGTCAAAAAGACAACTGTTATATTCCTGACTTGCACTTTGGAGAAAAAGGACAAGATCCTAGAGGAAGAGGCTTTTTATTTCTATGGAGGATCATCTTTTTTTATCTGAAATAAAATAAAATGTTTGATAGGATAAACAGCCCTTTCTATCCACAGAAATCTGGGCTCAGTGGTGTTATTGGTGTGAGAGCATCCACAGAGCATGCAGACCAAAGCATGAAAACAAATATTTGAAACATGGTGTTAAAAGGGAGTCAGACCATTACAGAGAATGAGTGGCTCTAATGCTAAACTTCCAGCAAGTTTTGCCATATCCCTTCTCTTCATCATTGTGCTGATCCAGTACAACCCTATTACTCTTTCTTTCTTTCTTTCTTTCTTTCTTTCTTTCTTTCTTTCTTTCTTTCTTTCTTTCTTTCTTTCTTTCTTTCTTTCTTTCCTTTTTTTCTTTTTGACAGGCAGAGTTAGAAAGAGAGAAAGGTCTTCCTTCCATTGGTTCACCCTCCAAATGGCCGCCAGGAGCCAGGTGCTTCCTCCTGGTCTCCCATGCGGGTGCAGGGCCCAAGCACTTGGGCCATCATCCATTGCCTTCCCAGACCACAGCAGAGAGCTGGTCTGGAAGAGGAGCAACCAGGACAGAATCCGGTGCCCCGACTGGGACTAGAACCCGGGGTGCCGGTGCCACGGAGGATTAGCCAAGTGAGCCGCGGCACCAGCCCCCACTAGCCTTTCATTCTTGTGGCCACAGCGGTTGAGATGAGCACATTGTGGGGAGCAACTGGGAGCAACTCGGACTAGACTAAGTTACTGGAATTAAGACTTATTCTATGCATCTGCTTTCCCACAATATGGCGCTGAGAAGGGAAACAGCTTCTACACAGCTGCCTCCAGTTCAACCAATAAACTGTGGGACCTGCTCCTGATTGGAGGAGAGCAGCGTACTCGGCGTGTGGGTAGCAGAGTTGGGATTGGTGGAAGAGGACTATAAAGGAGGAGAGAGACGGCATGCACCAGAAACATCTAAGGGGAACATCTGAGGGAACCCCTGTGCAGCCCCCGAGAGAGCCGGCCGGCGGTGTGCCGCTCCCCCGCGGAAGTGGGGAAAGTGGCTAGGGGGAACCGCCCTTCCACGGAGGTGGAAGGGTCGGTAGCCAACCCGGGAAGAACCAGCAGCAAACCCGGGGAGGGCCGAGCAGACGAAAGAACAGCGCATGGTCCTGTGTCGTTCCTCCACGAAGACGGGGAGCGACACACATGACTACAGTGGAAGCAGAGCTCTCTCTCAGACAAGTTTTTCCAGAGGTATTTGAGAAAATAGTTGCTTTCTCTTGAGTTTGAGATGGAAAGAACTATATAAAGCTAAATATATCCCATCACCAAATTACCACTATTTTGGAAAGAACCTAAGAATGAAAATAAGCATATGCAAGCAGAATTGAGAAGAACAGGGGAAGGGAGGAAGGAAGATGGGAGTCGGGGGGACACAGAGAGAGACCTGATGAGCATGGATAGTGTTTAAATTCCTGGCTATCACTAGTTTGCTACTATACTTTTCATTTCAGTAATGAAGTAATTTTTAACCTAAAATAGAATTTGTTTTTGCTACTTGCAGCTGAATAATCGAGTACTAAAAACATTATTTCATGCTATGGAGTGAATTGCATTCTCTGAAAATTCATATGTTGAAGTCCTTATGTCCAATGTGGCTGTATTTGGAGACAAGGGTTTTAAGGGGTAATTAAAATGAAATCAAGTTCATAGAGGATGGGGTCCTAACCCACAGTACTAGTGCTCTTGTAAGAAAAGGAAGCCTTGTGAGTGGTGCAGTGGTACAGCGGGTTAAGACACTGCCTGCAGCTCTGACACTCCAAATGGGCACCAGTTCAAGTCCCGACTGCTTCACTTCCAATCCAGCTCCCTGCTAATGTGACTGGGAAAGCAGTGGAAGATGGCCCAAGTCCTCGTGCCTCCGCCACTTATGGAAGAGACCTGGAAGAAGCTCCTGGTTCCTGGCTTTGGCCTGGCCCAGCCCCAGTGCTTGTAACCATTTGGGGATTGAACTAGCAGATTGAAGATTTCTGTTTGACTCTCCTTCTCTCTCTGCAACTCTTCTAAATAAATAAGTAAATCTTAAAGAAAAAAAAAGAGGAAGTAATATCTTTCCCCCTCTCCAAGAACACACACCATGTGAAGATGTAAGCCATGTGAGCACACATCGAGAAGGCAGCAGTCTGAAAGTCAGAAAAAGAGCCCTCACTAGAACCTGACCATGCTGGCAACCCTTTTAGACTATAAAATTGAGAGAAAGTAAACTCCTGTTGCTTAAGCCACCAAGTGTACAACGTTTTACCATGACGCGCAAGCTGATTCATACACTGTAGTTTCTGGGAGAGAAGATTTTCGATGTTTTCACCATGAGGAGATGATAAATGTTAGAAGAGATAGATAATTTTTACCCTAATTTGAATGTTACACATTGTATACATGCATTGAGACATCACATGGTGCCCCATAAATACATATGACCTTTTTGTGTCATTTAAAAATATAAAGTGTTGAAAGATCTACATATTGAATTCATTATCCTTAAGCAATGGTGTGTAGTAAAAAATGAGCTTGTTTTTGCTTCCTTTCAAACTATTAAAATGGCACTGATCACCCACACCCAAATACACCATAATTAATTTTAGCAGTCATATTAGGAGCAAGAGGTAACATGGACAAAGGTGTAGAGCCTGATGAAGCTGTTACCTCAGCCAGGGAGAAATTTCTTGGAGCACTAGACATGTACCTGTAGGAGAGCCCTGATCATGTGACTGTGCACCTGGAGTTCTCTTAGGAGAATGACACTCAGGCAAAGCCCACTGGCGTAGTCATTCCAGGTGTTACTATCATATAGTATTGTGAGGCCTTGAAGCTTAGAAATAAATGGTAAATGAGAACATAGAACCTTGAGAAGGTAATATGAAGGCAGAGAAGGAAGCAAATGTACATTAGCACTGACCAGCAGTGCATGCCAAGGGAAGATGGGCTCTAGAAAGCAAGGTGCAGGACCCCAAAAGTGAACTGCAGAAAATGAGAGAAGAGGCACGCTTTCCTGGCTCAATTTTTTTTTCCCAGTAGAAGAACACAAAAATATTTCATGGCAAATGTTGAGAGAGTTGAAGTATAGGAAAGCAATGCAACACAGAGGCAGCCACAAGCATTAACAAGCTTGTGGAATAAAGTGGATCTGAGGAGCTCTTGAAACCAAAGTCTCTTTACTCCAATTATTTAATTACTCATCTAAGGATGACAGGGGCTATGTAGAAGAGTGACAAAGTAATAATGAAAATAAAGATTTGAATTCAAATGGCATTGAATAGCTTATGACCCAGATAATATTTAATTTATTTTTAAGTGACAAAATTAGTGTGTGTGTGTAGATATATATATATATATACAAATTTGTCTAGAAAATTGTTTCACTTACTTTCTTTTTAATAAAGGGCTACTAGTGCTTACATTGGTAACTACACCTGTCTAATTTATGGTGCTATTAATTCTACTTGTGACTAAGGGTATACCTTTTAAGCATGAGTACAGTTTATTTGTAGTTTTACGTTTTTCTTTTTATTCCTCCAAGGCCCCAAGGAAACGAGCTACAATTAATCTGAATCATCATGTAGTTATGGTTTCGGTTGAATCTGTAAAATAATGATAAAGCTAATAGCTGTGACCAAACTCTCATCCAAGCAGGTGAGTATTACTGGACAAAGTCATCTTCTAAAAAGTTTTCCCTGGAGCTGGCACTATGTCGGTTAACAAAGTGCCCAAGTTCAGTTTCCAGCCCTGGCTCCTGATCTTGGTCTCCTACCAACAGATATATAAATATATGTATTATATATAATAACAGATATATATTTATTATATATATTATACATTTATCTCTCTCTATATATATTCTTCATTTGCATTCTCTCTATATCTATCTCTATATATCTATATCTATCTATCTATATATATATATATAGAGAGAGAGAGAGAGAGAGAATGCAAATGAAGAAATATTCTAAGCGGCTAGTATTTGATGTCCCAAAGAACTATTAGGACATTGTTCTTTCATTATATGAGAGGGATAAGAAGTCAGCATGAATTGAAAACAAAGACTATTGATTTTAATTCTCTTTAAGATATGATACTAATTAAATCCTGGATGTTTTAAAATTTTTATTTTATTTTATTTTTTGAGAGATGAGAGAGAGAGAGAGCGTGCGCACTCCCATTTGCTTCCCAAACACATACAATGGCTAGGGGCTGAGGCCAGGAGTCAGGAGCCAGGAATTTGATCTGGATCTTCCATTTGGGTGGTAGGGACCCAACTACATGAGCCATCACTGTTGCCTCTCGGGGTCTGCATTACCAGAAAGCTGGAATCAGGAGCCACAGCTAGATAGGCGTCAAACCCAGGTACTCCAATGTGGGATACAGGTGTCTTAAGCTCCAGGACAAGTGCCTGCCCCAAGTTTTGCTTTTTGACAAGAAATAACTGCTGGGGAAGAATAGATTTCAGATCCAGGAATCCCTAATTCATATTCTCTTTTTATAGTAGCTAATTAACTTTGGCAATTTACCAAACCCAAGTCTTTGGAAAAATGGGAATAATACTTACCTTGCAAAGCCATTGTAAGGATTAGTAAAAATGATATAGAACATGATAGGAACCCAATAAGCAGCATGTGACAAGCTATAAACATTATCCAGTGAGATAGATGGGAAGTAGTAGGTGTTTAATGAATTGATATCATTTTTATTAGTTCATTTGCATTATGCGACTATGCTGATTTTCACTGTACCTGATGGAAACGCAAGATATTTTGATCAGGATTTCCCCAGTCAAAAGCTTGGAGCTGACCAGAATTAACAACCTAAAAATAATAATAATAATAAAAAGCACGTTAAAATGATAAAAGAAAACACTGTCCATCTAAAGACAATAAACAAAAAATATATAAAGATTAACATTGTGTTATACTCTTTAGGCAAATAAGCTAAATTTCAATAGAGATTAATAAGTCTAATAAGTCACTCCAAATTTATAATGAGATAATAGAATGAGAATAGCAAGGGAGTGGTGATTCCATCCTCCTGAGCTGGCAGTTTCCTGTGAAAACAAGTTACATATCCCACCCTTCTGGATGGTTTCTTGTTTTATCACAAGCAAGCCAGATAAGATAAAGGATTGTAAATCAGGTCTTTTGATGGGTTTTGTCCCTGCCTTGTAACTGAATGTCAATCTGATTGTCAAGTTTTTTTGTTTTTTTTCCCCAAAATTGTGCTTAAAAACTACCACCAGGCACTTTCTCTTGGAAGCCTCCCTCCATACTGCTCTGGCTGGAGTTCTTTGACTCTGATAAATCATGCTTTTTATATCTAAAAAAAAAAAAAATTCAAATAACAAAATGTTAGGTAGGAAGTTAGTTATGAGCTTATGTGTGTGTGACATAAAGGCCTAAAGAGAAGACATCTATGTCCAGCATATGCATCTGCTGACAATGTTTTAGGGGCAGCCCGGTATTCGCATCCTGCCCTGCCCCCTTCTACCTGATAACCTGCCAGGTGGAGATCCCCACTCCTTTTGCCTGACAAATCTTCCACAATCTCCCAGATGCAGCCCAGTATCTGCATTTCAAACACCCTGCTCCGGATCCCCATTCTCTAGGGGGTCCTGCTCACCCTTCCTCTGAACCCAGGATGGCGCCAGCTAGGCTTCCTCCTGTCTGATACCTTCAAGGGAAAACTCAGATAGGAGCTTCTGAATATTTACAGCCATAAAATCCTTTGTTTCAGGAGGAGATGTGTGAAGACAAAGACCCATCTCCTTAAAAACCCCCAGCCTCAACAGGACTGCACGCTCAGCCCTCTGCCTCTCTGCTGAGCCGCCCACCTGGTCTGGCCAGGTGTAATCTCTCCACTCAACCATGTAACCTCCCCTCCCCCCCCAGTCTCTCAGGCTGTCTGGAGAGGTGCCCATCCATCCTTACGGATGTCCCTTCCCTAATAAACCTTGCTATTTTACCTCCCACTACTCTCTGTCTCATGCCTGAATTCTTTCTTGCGCGAAGACAAGAACCCTGCAATTTCTCCGGTAACAGTGCCAGCATTCCATATGTGTGCTGGTTTGAGTTCTGGTTGGTCTTCTTCTGATCCAGCTCTCTGCTGTGGCCTAGAAAAGCAGTGGAGGATGGCCGCCCAGGGCCTTGGGCCCCTGCACCCATGTGGGAAACCCAGAGGAAGCTCCTGGCTCCTGTCTTTGGATCAGCACAGCTCCAGCCCTTGTGACCATCTGGGGAGTGCGCCAGCAGATGTAAGGCCTCCCTCTCTCTTTCTCTCTCTCTCTCTCTACCTCTGCCTCTCTATAACTCTACCTTTCAAATAACTAAATAAGTCTTAAAAAAAAAAAAAACTTGAATTGTGTCCAAGTTTGATAGATGAAGCTTTGATCCAGGACAAGGTATTTGTGAGATGAAAATAACAACATTCTTTTCATAGGATTGTGAAAATTCAAGAGGGTAATGCATATAAAGTGTATAACACCTACTAATGCTCAACAAATAGGTCTTTTATTAATAGTGTTACAGGTTAATATCTTTTTCCGAAATACTTGGAACCAGAAGTTTCAGATTTCAGAGGGTTTTTTTAAATTGGATTTGGAAAGCTTCATAGATTTTTTGCAGTTGAGCACGCTTAAGCTGAACATTTGAAATATTCCAAATCCAAAGATTAGAGCTAATGGAACTGTATCACCATCTAGAAAGCTTTTGTCCAAATATTTGGTCCCCAAAATAATTTATTTCTAATATAGAAAGGATTTTTCCATCAAAGGAGAAGATTTTTCCTTAAGAGAGGTCAACTGTGAGATATCTAAGGCATTGACCATGAAATTTATAGAGTGGAGATGTCAATGCTTTCATTGAAATTGCTGTGAGAATCCAATAATACTGAACAAGGCGATACATGTGAACAGCAAGAAGGGCACATAGTAAGTGGTCAATAATCGTGATACTGAATTTGCATAATCTGAAAGGTCATGTCCATCAGAGGAGCTGTATGTCTCCTCATCTACAGAAGACTCTTTGCCCCAGAGATCTTTCTTCCCATAGATATTTGAAGAGTTATGTCCTGAGAGGTCAACTCTTCAAAACATTTCAGAGATCCTAAAGCAGTGCTTCACACTATCAATAAAGTGATTCTCAGGACAAGCATTTGGCACAGCAGTTAAGAAGCTGCTTGGGACACCCATATCCCATGCTGGAGTGTCTGGGTTTGAGTCCTGGCTCCACTCCTTATTCCAGCTTCCTGCTAATACACTCCCTGAAAGTCAGTGAGTGATGTCCATGCAGGAGATTGGGATTGAGTTCCAGGCTCCTTGCTTCAGCCAAGCCCTGCCCTTACTGTTGCTGGCACTGGGGGAGTGAACCAACAGATAGGCAAGCTCTCTCTGTCTCTCTTCTCTCTCTTTCAAAAGGAAGAAAGAAAGAAAAAAAGAGAGAGTCTCAACTTTAAAGCAGGGAACAAATTTAATAGGACATAGGTTAAATGCAGATTCCCAAAGTTCTCAGATGTTTTAAATCTTTAGGAAGAACTCTTTCTCTCTCACACACACACACATACACAGAAACACAAACCTCTATGTATATTTTGTTCACTTTCCAAAGGAATGAAACTAAAGCCAATGGCTGAGAATATAAGCAAAAATTTCATAATGGAAGAACACAAAGATAGACACACACAGTGCAGAAAATTGTAGCAACTGAATTTGACTCATTTCTGAGCTTACTGTGAATATTCAGTATTTAATAAAACAAATTAGATTTCAACTGAGGATAAAACATAAAACAGTAATCAATTCAAATCTTTCCCAAACATTTAATTTGCTATGAATAAAGTATTCTTGTTACACTTTGAAATACCTCATACACCAATTGGAGGATAAACAGATCTTTCTGGAATAGGCTGTATGTATTATTTTATATAGCAATATCAGAAATAATGGTTTCACAAGATTGGAAATACAGGCCTTTCCTTGAAAAGGAAGTGTGGAAAATCTTAGGATAAGAACTCAGAATCTAAGGTTAGTAGGCTTATAACTCTGACACTGAGGACAAGGAGAACAGAAGGGGAAAAGGAAATCAAAATGAGGAGTTAGTGCTGGTTTCAGAAACATCAATGTGACAGCAGCAGTAGCCTGCAGGGTTCCCTGGGAGTGCTCCTCAATGGTCTTGTAGAAGTGGACATATATCAGTCAGGATTAGGAAGCATGTACCTGGGCCCAGTGCAGCATATTCTGAACTGATGTTCCCGCAGGGCTCTGTGAGAAATAAACATCCAAGCGGCTCTGCAAAGAGATTATTTTTCATCTAAAGATGAGTCATATAATTATACCACAAATGAGCAATGGAAAGAAATTTGAGTAATTTCTCCTTTTTTTTATAAAAAAATCACATGCCATGCTCTCAGAAGATACATTAACCAAAGATGTTCATCTGCAAGAATTTTCTCCTCTCTTGGCTGTTTTTCTGTCTCAAGCAGTCTTCATAAAGCCCACAGACGCTTACCTCTGGTCAAACACAAAAAGTAATGCATCTGCACCATATCTTTCCAGCCTCACTTCACATAGGTCCAAGAATGAAGGGGGTTAAGGTATAAAAACCTCAGTGATATCTTCCTTTTTCCTGTGTTAAGTCCCAAAAGACGTTCAGAGTAAACTTGAATATAAGATGTGCAGAGCAGATGTAAACGTTTCCTTTTGTTTTATGATTTTAAATATGTTGTAAATACTCTACGATGTTCTTCAAAAGTTTGTAGGACAGAATTTATCTAGTATATTTAAGTTTCATCTGGATAAAAAATATTTGGTCATTTCACATTTTCAACAATATGAGTTATTTTTCCCCCACCAATGTGACCATCAAAAACTTCTTGTAACTCTAAATTCATATACCCATTTATGGGCTATCCAAATCTGAAAAAGTCAACGTCTCTAGAATTGAGTTCTGAATGTGTGAATTTCTTTCCAAGTTTCACAAAGGCTACTTAAATATTCCTAATTGTATATCACTAAATATTGTAGCAGATGCTATCATATTCCATAATCCAGACCTTAGTAATAAGACAAGAGATTTGGTCCTTTGAGAAGTTTTTAGATTAACTTGGGTCATTAGGGTGGGAATCCCCGACTGAATCCTGGTGGTTTTATAAGGAGAAGGAGAGAAGCTACAGAGACACAGACTTAAATGCCCACACTCCTTGTCTCTCACTGTGATGCCCTACACCACCTCAGTGCTCTGCCACCAGAAGGCAGTCACCAGATAGGGCCCCTAGATCTTGCACTTCCTGAACCTTGAGCCACAATAAACCTCTTTTCCTTATAAAGTGAGCCTGTCTTAGGCATTACATTAATGGTAACAAACAGCTGACTATCACAAATGGAGAACATCTTTAGCTCTTTCCCATCTCTGTCTCCAGTTTCAAATATATTTCCACTCTCAGTGGGGAAATAAACGGGCATATTTTTGCTTATTTTGGTCTCTTTCCTCTTCTCTCTTCAAGTTGTAACTTGGAAAAGAAGGTAGAAATTAAGTTAGAAATGACTGGAAAGAACCCCAACACTGATCCCTCTCATTACTTTTTGAAAAATAAATCTGCAGCAATCATTGAAGAGCTCTCCCTTTATCTCTTTGGATTAAGGAAGTAAGTGTATCACAAAATAACTATTTCCAAGTCACACTAGAATATGGAAAATTGGTTTAAAAATGCAGATGCTTAGAATCACTCTCTGAGATGTTACTTCAGTAGGTCTCAGATAGGGCTCAGTTACACCAAGGTAAATTTCAAAGCCCTGGCCTTCATCTACACTAAGGGCTTTTCAATAGTGGCACTTTAACCAATAGAAAGGATTGCTAAGAGTTTATAAAGCCTTGTTGTCAAATCCTCTTGGGAAAGCAGAGGACTCTTGGCCTTGGTTGGAATCCATGAAAATAATAATTACATATCTAGAGCAAAAAGAAGGCTTTGACATAGTTTCCACACCCAGACTGAATTCTCATAACTTCTGTACAGCAGAACAATTGCTTTCCCAGACCCAAGGCCTTATACATACCATGTTTAAGTTTTTTGCATCAAATCCAGCCAAAGAGAATAGGAAGTTGCTGCAAGCACGATGGAATAGCTTTTGGTTGCACACTTTGGTGGCAATGAACTGATCCAAAAATGTACGAGGGTGGAACATTTTATCACCAAACAAAACCTGCAAGATCAATTTAATGTACCATCAAATCTCATGGATGTGGATGTTAAGAATGGGGAATGAGTGGTAATTCAGGCAAGGACAAGACAGCAGGTGACATCAGCTGAGTTGGTCCTCAGTGAAACTATGAGGTCTGTTTAAACTTTTTTTGGAGTCCTCTCAATTTAGCTCTTGATCCTTTTCCCTCAAGGATCTCTCATTGGAGGTATTTTTTGGAATGTCCCCTGACAGATAAGTCCCCAAAAGAAATTAATAAGGTTCTGGAGTGAGCCTTTTATGTTTGATTCTAGATTCTGCCTCTTTTAACTTAGGAAAATATTTAGTCTCTATTATCTTAAAATTTTCTCAGCTCTTAAATGGGAAAATTGATATCCATTAAATAGAATTGTCTTGCAAATAATAGGTCATGTTTAAAAGACACCTAGTACATTTCCTAGTGTCAAGTAAACATTGCAAAACCAGTAACTATTATTATAATTAGTGACTGATAGAGACTTAGTAAGCCATTGCTTCTAGAATCTTTTAATGAACTCCTTCTAGATGCAAAAGTTTAACTCAAAGTTATAAATCGCTACTAGTGAAAATTCAGGCAATTTTGCAAGTGAGTTGAGCATATATTTTGTATTTTATAAATCTTTCACATAATAACAAAAATGAATATCTAATCCCTCTTCATATAAATCTGTTTACTCTTCTTTCACAGCAGCCAGTTTTGTAATCTTAACATAATAAACTGGATATAAAGGTGCAGGAGCCAATGATGTGGCATAGTAGGTTAAGCATCTGCCTGTGGTGCAGGCATCCTATATGGGTGCCAGTTCATTTCTCAGCTGCTCCTCCTCTGATCCAGCTCTCTGCTCATGACCTGGGAAAGCAGTGGAAGATGGCCCAAGTGCTTATACCTCTGCATCTACATGGGAGACCTGAGAGAAGCTCCTGGCTTCTGGCTTTGGATCACCGCAGCTCTGGCCATTGCAGCCATTTGAAGAGTGAACCAACAGATAGATGACCTTTCTCTCTGTATCTCCCTCTCTCTTTTTATAGCTCTACCTCTCGAGTAAATAAATAAAAATCTTTATAAAAAGATAAGAGGAAGCACCTGACTCCTGGCTTTGGATCAGCGCAGTGCGCTGGCTGTAGCAGCCATTTGGAGGGGTGAACCAATGGAAGGAAGACCTTTCTCTCTGTCTCTCTCTCTCTTTCTTTCTCACTGTCTAACTCTGCCTGTCAAAAAAAAAAAAAAAAAAAAAGATATGATAGTGAAAATACATTTTTTAGTTCTTAAAACTTTTGGAAAACTCTTCCTTGGTGCTGCTACCTATAGAGATGGTTTCCTTCTATTTGTCATTATGACCACCCTCAGAACCCTGGTGAGGCCCAATATCGTTAAAAAGAAGACCAAGAAGTTCATCTGGCACCAGTCCGACCTATATGTGAAGATTAAGCATAACTGGCAGAAACCCAGAGGTATTGACAACAGGGTTTGGAGAAGATTCAAGGGCCAGATATTGATGCCCAAAATTGGTTAAGGGAGCAACAAGAAAATGAAGCACATGCTGTCTAGTGGCTTCCGGAAGTTTCTAGCTGGAGGTTCTGCTAATGTGCATCAAATCTTCCTGTGTGGAGACTGCTTACAATGTTTCCTCCAAGAACTGCAAAACCATCTAGGAAAGAGCAACCCAGCTGCCCATCAGAGTCACCAACCCAGTGCCAGCCTGCTCAGTGAGGAAAATGAATAGACAGCTCAGGTACACATTTTATTTGTGTTTAAATTAAAATTTTGGAAAAATTTATACAAATTTCTTCTGGAATACTTTATTAACTGATAATTGCGACTAAAAATAATAATAATCAGCATTTATTTTTATACACTTATGTAACACAAGATCCTACACTATCTTTGGGACACTAGAGTCAGTAAATTCCTGCCATATATAAATTTTCAGATTGTGTTTCTAAAAAATTATTATGTTATGTGATCAAAAGTAAGTCTTATTTAATGGAATATTTGGTATTCCATAGAATTTTAGTAAAATATACAAAAGGACATCATGTTCCTGATTTATTCCAAAGAGAGGCAGGGAGGAAGAGAAGGAGATGGCACGGAAGAGAAAAAGGAGGAGGAGGTAGAGGAAGGGAAAGAAAGGCAAGAGGAGAAAGAAGAAGAAAAGGAAAGGAGGACAAGAGAAGATTAAGATGAGAAAAACTAAAGTATGTCAAACTATTCAAATAAGATTTCTCGGCCAATGCCACTGCTCAATAGGCTACTCCTCTGCCTGCGTTGCCTGCACCCTGGGTTCTAGTCCCAGTCAGGGCGCCGGATTCTGTCCTGGTTGCTCCTCTTCCAGTCCAGCTCTCTGCTGTGGCCCGGGAGTGCAGTGGAGGATGGCCCAAGTGCTTGGGCCCTGCACCCCATGGGAGACCAGGAAAAGTACCTGGCTCCTGGCTCCTGCCATCGGATCAGCGCGGTGCGCTTGCTGCTGTGCACCAGCTGCAGCGGCCACTGAGCGGTGAACCAATGGAAAAGGAAAACCTTTCTCTCTGTCTGTCTCTCTCTCTCACTGTCCACTCTGCTTGTCAAAAAGAAATAATAAAAAATAAAAAAAGACTTCTCAATTCTTTAGGTCTGCAAAGTAACCAAATTATTCTCATTCTGGCCTCTTCAATTTTTCGTAATTACCGAAACACTTGTACAATAGACCACATCTTTAATTTAACTCATTTATCAAATTTTAACTCTTCCTGTGTATCTTCTACCATGTTAACCATGTTAACTTAATAATAGCAGTATACATCCATGGTATGAACCTACATTTTAAAAGAATGTTGACAACTATTTGATGTTTTCAAGTGTGACAACCTAAATAGATTGTCACATAAATAATAATTGAGGTAAAAGGTAGGCTCTGATTTTAAACACTGAATATTTTTATTTTTCACTTGCCAAAGCTGTCTTTTTCATCCCATGCCTTGTGGAAAATTCATGTGAAAGGGAACAGCCAGTTCATAGAAGTAGTCAACCATGAACATATGATGTTATAGCTACTATCATGTGTTCCAGTTTTGTTTTGATAACTGTCTTTCCCAAACATTGGGTGAATCCTCATGGCAGTTTCTGACTACTTCACTCTGGCTCATACACACTCATAAAACTATGGCACATTTACCCAAGGATGAATAATTTCTCTTCATACTAACCCACAGAGAAGATAGTAATGCACACTAACTGCAGATGTAATTCCAAGTTGGTTCTGGAGGGGGCAAGCTTGTAACATAACGTCAATGAAAGAGGCTTCCTATAGTTCTTTCGGAACCTTTATGAGAATTCAAAAATGCACCCTTCTTCTGGGCACAGGGCCCCACATCAGGGTACATGGTTTGACAAGCAGAATACGAGCTGTCTTCAACTCTCAGTAGCCTACTGAGTTAGGCAACTGATGCTTCCTTGGGTGCATGAGGATCTGGGACTGCAAGCTGGCACTGAAAAAGTGTGGAAAACAATACACATAAGCAAGACCAAGATGCTGGGTCATCTGATCAGATCTAGGTGTAAGCCTGGCTCTGCCACCTTAGCTGGGTGATGCAGCTTAGGTCACTTACATCTCTGAGCCTCAGTTTGTTCCTTTAAGAAATGGAAACAATACTGACAATCTTTAGTATCACTCAGGGGATACAAGTGTCACTCCCAGGGATATAAGGATGCTCCAACATACCAAATGTGATACACCAGTCTAATAAAATAAAGAACAAAAGCACTTGATCATCTCAATGGATGAAGAAAATGTTTTTTGACAAATTCAACATCATTTCATGATTAAAAAAAATCTCCCAACAAAGAACAGAAGAAATGTACTTCAAAATAGTAAAAGCCATAAATAACAAACCCACAGTTAGCGTTATATTGAATGGGGGAAAGTTAGAAGTTTACTCTCTAAGATCTAGAATAAGACAGGATGCTAACTTTCATCATTTATTCAAAATAACACTGGAAGTCCTCACTAGAATAAACAAGCAAGAGAAAGAGCATCCAAATTGGAAAGTGAAATTGTCATTGTTTGCAGATGACATAATCTTACATACAGAAAACCTCAAAGGCTCCATTGAAAAACTATTAGGATTAATAAATGAATTTAGAAATGTTGTAGGATGCAAAATCAACACATAAAATCCAGCAGCATTGCTATACACCAATAGGAAATTATCTGAAAAAGAAATCAAGGAAAGAATTCCATTTCCAGTATACACCAAAAAAAAAAACAGAATAAATTTATTTTTAGATTATTTTTGTGATTTTTTAAAAAATTCTTTTTTAAATTTAAGGTATACAAACTTCATGCATATCATAAATACAAATTTAGGAACACAGTGATTCTTCTCACCCTATTCTCCTTTCCAAGAATAAATTTAACCAAAGAGGTGAAAAGTCTGTGTACTTAAAAGACTACAAAACATTAATGAAAAAATTGAACAGGACTCAGAAATTAAACAATATCTAATGTCATGAATTGAAAGAATCAACATTGTTAAAATGTTCACATTACCTAATCTACAAATTCAATGTAATTTCTATCAAAATATCCATAGCATTCTTTATAGAACTAGAAAAACAGAATTCTGATTCATACATGATCACACACAAAAAGTTGCCAATTTTGAGCAAAAATAATAAAACAGGAGGCATATGCTACCTCATTTCAACACATATTACAAAACTATGGTAATAAAAACTGCATGATATGGGATTGATGTTGTAGTGCAGTGGGTTAAGCTGCTGCCCACAACAAAGGCATCCTATATGAGCGCCAGTTCAAGTCCTGGCTGTTCCACTTCCAGTCCAGCTCCCTGCCAATGACCTGGGAAAGCAGCAGAAGTTGGCCCAAGTTCTTGGGTCCCTGTCACCCATGTGGGAGATACAGATGGAGTTCCAGGCTATGGCTTTGGCCTAGCTTAGCCCTGGCCATTGGGGATAGAAGATCTCTTTCCCACCCCACTATTTCTCT